CACGCTGTTTTCTTTCACCGTATGTCATTAGAGTCTCAATAATATAGAAAGTACATACAACTCGGAAGAAGTTGTGCAGGTACCTACATGAGAATTGGGCGCCTAACATTCGGACTAAGTTAATTGTTTTTAATTCGTAAACCTACGTACTAAGCCTCATTACCAACACAAAATAAAACCTTATTTAATCACACTCTTCTGCCTGTTCTATCGTGGCAAAATAGTCGTGATATTGTACAGTTATGTAAATATTTTTACAGCGCCATGTTATTATTATACAATGGCTTCGGTAATATCATTATGCTTCGTATGCGGTGCACACAACGTTTGTAAACCTATCGAGCGCTAGTGCGGTACATTGCATACCAAATGAATTAATTTTCAAGAGGATTCTATTAGCTTTCCTATACATGAACTACAGCGCTGTGATTGTAAATTTGTATGTTTTATTAATGTTCGCAATTAATTTTGTTTGGGCTATGTGGTTGGAGTTGTCATGATTAATTAAGCTGTAATGTGGACGGTGTGTGATTGTAGTAGGACGTTTGAGGACTTCTAACATCATGAGATTCTTTAATACACAACGTTTTAACTTTAAAAAAGCTCTTAGTATCGTTGGAAGACTATCAAGCAAGAAAAACAAAACTGTATGTATGTCTTTTTAACCGACTTCCAAAAAGGAGGAGGTTCTCAATTCGACCGTATATATGCTTTTTTTGTAGATTTGTCATCATTGCGTGTATATAAATAAAACGTACTTGCTCTATATTTTTTTTCTTTTTATAACAGTCAACAATACATAGATACATATTATAGAGCATCATTCTGGACCTGCAGAAGCAGCGTAGAGATTTTTATTCAGAGAGAGCCTGACACTCCCTATCACCTCAACTCTGCGAGAGAAGTCATTTCATGACAAACCATTAAAAATATTAAAAAATAGTTACCCTTTGAGGAGCCAAAAGGCGTTACGCTACACAACTATATATATCCTTAAATTATTAATAATACGAATGACGTCACAGAAATCTCCCGCTTCAATTTCATGCTAAACTTTATTTGAAATTATAATCCCCTACATACAACCACTAAACAATATTAAATCAAAGGACTATTTATAGTCGGCCAGCATTGTACGTGGGTGCCATAGCGAATAGAGGCTAATTTCCCGTGCACCTACGGATGAAACAATTTATATTTAGATCAAGCTAACTGGATTATTTCAGTCACAACTATGTGCTGCTACTAGTTTTGCATATTAAAATAGTTTAGTTTGCTTTAGATTTTATAATTTATGTTGTATTGGTAATAATTTTAAATAAATTATAAGACTACACATTTGTCGTATAGCAATGTTATAGGATGCTTAGTAAAGTTTCACAAATTCGGTTTACGTGTGTGACAAAATTGGTCATTAGATATTTTTAATTTTCAGCCGGGGTTGCGGGTTTAGCGCAATGAGTCACCGCGACCTCGGCCCAGAGCAAGAGAAGGAACGGGGGGGGGGGGGGTTTAGTCAGTAAGAGTCTGACACTCGCTCTCGCTTTACCCTGGGCGGGAGAAATCATTTGATGATTTTCCCCTGACAAAAAAAAAGATATATTTAATTTTTACAATAAAATATAATATAAATACAATAAAACCTCATAGTACAATACAATGAATCCATTGGATCCTCTAGCAAAATAGAAGGTCCAGATTTCTGCCTCAGAATTATACGGTACACATATTATATACAATACAATATGTGATTGTTCTGTAAGGTCATTGAACTCGACCTATATCACTCTGTTCATTGTTTCATGCAAGATTTGGTATCATGAAGTTCTGCTCCTGTGACTTGTACTTACGGCTTAGATTCGGTTGACGCTTTAACAGGATCCATATTAGCTAAGACAAGGATCTCTGATTTTGAAAACGAAATATTATTTAAATACAATTTATATGACACACCATAAAAAGTATTTAATAAGCAAGGTCACAACACTTTTGACGATCTTATAGGTCTTGCCTTTAATTTATTTTTATTTAGTTTTAGTTAGGTTATAATATAATAAAAATAAATTAAGAGAAACATCATAGAAAAAACAAAGTGGCTTTCTCTGTCCTGTGTAGTGATTGAAGACGAAGGATTATATGTATGCAACATTTATTATGTAGTGGAGATTTTTTTTTGATGGTAAGTAATCAGCGCCGCCCATGGACACCCGCAACGGAGGAGTTACGAGTGCGTTGCCGACCTTTTAGGGATTAGGGATTTGGAGATTTAAGGATTGGGGGTGGGGAAGGATTGGGCCTCCGGTAACCTCACTCACATGGCGAAACAAAACGCTGTGGTTGTTTCATGCCGTTTTTCTGTGAGGCCTTGGTTTTACTCCGGTCGAGCCGACCTATTCATGCCGAAGCATGGCTCTCTCCCACACTTTTTTATCAGCAATGCACCGGCGCCGGGGCGGCTTGCTAGTATTGGATAAAATTAAATAATGCTGTGTTTACAATATGTAATTATTGTACTTCTTAAATTTCTCACAGGATTTACGTCATACAATATTTGCAAGTAAATCGCTAACTGTAGTCAAGTAAAAAAAAAAAGATAAGAAGTCGCCGTTTCCTTGTTATTAATACGGTCCAAATAAAATTATGAATCAGCCTCTAAGAAAATTTAATTAAAATAATTTTCCTTTACAGATTAACTAATGAGGTCACATTTAATATTTATGTCTGGTTCTTGGGAAAATTTCGTAGTAAATAATAATGAGATCTTGTATTACGATTAAGATTTTGTTTTGATAACATTGTAATTTTAAATTGTGTTCCTTAGAAGTTATGTGTTTTTTTCGTTTAAAATAAGTTAGGATATGTAGCGTTACAATTTATTACATTTATACTTTCGAATCTGGGTATGGAACTTATAAAGATAGAATAGCCACCATTTTAAACACAAAATAACAGAATATCGAAATAGTACTACTATTTCTGTTTACTATTCAAAAACACTAACTAAAATCACGAAGCGAGTGCGCTCAATCACAGATATTTCAACGAGATATCATTGAAACGAGATAGCACTATGTCAGTAACTCGATACTCTGTAATCCTCTATAGAAATAACATTTTTCAAAACAAATCCTGAAGTTTCAGCTTTTTCGTAATACAAACACGATATCGGACCTATTGTTCGCGACCAGATAAATCTCTTTAAGTGTATTCAGACCGAGAATTCCATTAATGAAACGGTGCTTATTTAAATTCTTTTTGTCATTTTACAGAGCATTTCAGACTAAAAAATACCAGTGAAAACTGCTCTCGCATTAAAACTGCTTTTCTTAAAGTAACAGGTCAACTTATACTGGGTGTGTATAGCTTGATATGCGGTTGTTTGTTCGTTTGAGCCTTTTGTTACTAAAGCTCTTGTTGTCACTTCGTTTGCTTACAAAAACGAAGGCTTTGTTGCTCGGTCTTGGCATACAGAACGTAGTTAAAAAGTAATAAAAGCCTGGAATTTGTTTGGTGATTTAAGAAGAGCTGATTCAGGTACAATACTGAAAACACTTTGTTAACGATATTTATTTACCTTTTTGTCATTGATATCAAGCAAACAAGAAGAAGAATGGGTTTTCAATAAATGAAATAACTTTAGATAGAAACTGATTGTTTCTTAAAGCACATTTTCAACTCAAATGACTCTAAATTGTTCTTCCTTCACATAGATAAAGTTCAGCGATAATAAATGGCCGCGTAGGGGATTGGGAACTGACTGCTACGTCAACTACGGCGTAGCAATATAGCCGTAGCTCTTGCTACGCCGTAGCCACGGCGCAGTTCCTTAAAAAATGTAATGCCATTGTATTGAATTTAATAACATTATTAGGATAACAAGACAACTTGTTTGTTTTTACGCTGTTTTATAAAAAAAATGCTTACTAGATTTAATTAACATTTTACAAGTCTGATTGATCTTAACACAAATTTTCATCTAATTTAAAAATACGCCATCACCGCTATTCATAATATCGGAAAGTATATTAAACAACGAGCATATAAGGATTGTCGTTCGGATAATAACGAATTCAGGGTTCGTATAATGTGTTGGTGTAGGTGGAATCATAAACTGACGAGACCGACCACTGGTTTCAGCGCTGGACGACCCTTTGGAAAGTATGGCGTAAATAATCTAGTTTTACGAGTCTGTGTGTAGTATGTAGAAGTACGTTTTGTTACGTTATGTGATACCGTGGCTACTTGTAAACAGAGAGTACCTCAATCTGTTTACTGTCTCAAGTACTTTTATATCTGTTTACTTACGGTTTTGAGTATATTCAGTGGGGATTGTCTGAACGTTTTTCTATCTTATTCAGTCTAGTGTTGACATTACTATTTGTTTGATTTATTCAAAAGGACAGATAGAAGTTTCTTAAGAGAATACTTTGAGTTGTTTCCCTTTTTTTCATCTGCAAGCTTTAATTTGTCCCTCTCGTCTGTCACTGTTTTTTCATTAGTCACAAAAATTCACTGATAAAGATAGGCCTTCTCTAAAGTGTGTTTGCTAGATTCTTTATATTAAAATCTATCTGCTGTACCGTAATTTGATCTCTAATAACAATAAGGCCCAATTTATTCTAAGTATTATCAAACTTAATGGTTCAGAATAAACACCAGTAATAAAAGTAGAAAACTATTCAACTTAAGCCATCCCAAGAGTAAATGTCCATAGTTCAACATAAACGAAACGGCCTCAAGAAATCTTGAACGGCAAAGAAGCAAAACACTTCAGTTCACAACTTCCAAACTAATTCCCCTTCCTACATTTAATCACCACAGTTTGTGAAAGTTGTGTGAATAAACTAGCTGAAATACACACTGAAGTATTTACATAGAATTAAGCTGTACATAAACGTTTTTTATATAATTACTTTCACGACTAGTCAATGAAATATTGTACATCTTTGATTACGAAAGCTAAATTTCCCTAAGTGTGGGAGAGCCATGCTTCGGCACGAATGGGTCGGCTCGACCGGAGTGATACCACGGCCTCTCAGAAAACTGGCGTGAAATAACTACAGCGTTGAATTTTGCCGTGTGAGTGAGGTTACCGGAGGTAAGGTCCTTCCCTTCCCCCGATCCTTCCAAAATCCCTAAATCTCAAAAATCCTAATCCCTAAAAGGTCGGCAACGCACTCGTAACTCCTCCGTTGCGAGTGTTCATGGGCGGCGCTGATTGCTTATCATCAGGTAATCCGTCTGCTCGTTTGCCGACTTATTACATAATTAAAATCCAATGTTAAAATGACAAAAAGACACAAAAATGACAATTCATTTCGACAACGACATAATGAATCCATGAATGTAATATAAATGGCTTAGTTGTGTTATATTATTATTATGCTCTCGAATAAAGCCGCTGAAGGGATGAAGAATCAACGTGTACGCTACGTACATTTTAATTACCGCGGCATGGTAAGCTTTAAACGCGCTTCACTTTCAAAAACAAAACACTGCACAAAGTTAGTTCAAAGAGAAAACAAAATAGTATTAAAAGAAGCTTGTATAAAAGGCTGCCAATATTTATTCAATGTTCCTTGGCTTGAAAAATTGTTTAAGCTTAGACATATTTTACATTGCCGTTTTTATTTATACTACTTTGACTACAAAAGGACAAATTTACATACCTTATTCTCGTCAGCTACGTGTGACCTTTTTGCGGTAATTTTTATTTGCATGTGAAAATACAAATGTCGTCATGCTTCACGTTTTAAGGACTTTCAGAAGTATTTTACTGGAAAATTGTTGAGTAGAATGTTGCCTAATGTTTGAGTACGTTGATTCAATTTGTTTTTAATTTTGAGGTGTGGCGTCTACAGCTTTTTATCTCTCGATTAAGGACTGACTTATGTTATTTATTTCCCGATGCGCTTGCAGACTTTTGGTATCTATAGACCGGGCCTGTCTTTGCGTATCTATAGGTATTCTATAAGTATGCATATCTATCTGTTAGGGTCTGTTAAAATTAAAAGTATTTCTTACCAACCCTATTATTAACTGTCAACCGTCTATTATAGAACTATCTTTCGATTGGAAACGATGAATTAAATTATTGAACACCATAATTTACATTAATATTTAAAGTAATTAAAGTTTTGTATAAAAATATGGTAGTATAAATTTAAATTAACGTTAAGTCAATTTTCTAACAACAAAATAGGAAATTGTGGGAAGCAATAAATAAATGTTCGTTAGCGTCTGCATGAAGATGGCAATCTCCTGCAGTTGACAATCTTGGCTCAGTAATTGGACCACCACTCGGCAGCGAAGGTTCAATAGGTTTTATGTTCAATATAAAATATTAGCTTGCGGCGTTGTAAGACAAAACTTTGAATATTATAATTTATTTAAGTTATATTTTATCATATTTTAAAATTAATTTATTTTATTATATCTTAGCACAAAAAACAATAAACTACAATAAAAATCAAATAAATAAGTGCTTTATTTTTCAACCAAAACTTGTTTTCTCTTGTATATTAATTTTCATTAACTAACGTTTTATTTTTCAAACATGAAAAATACACAAAAAAATTTAATTGCAAGATAAATCTATCAGTCGTCTTGAGAAAAATGGATGTTTCATACGTAAGTAAAAAAAAGAAAATATGCTGCTAATAAATGTTTTAACATTTATAACGAAAATCGTTAATAACATTACAAACCACTAAAACCGATCACCAAAGCTTAGGTATACAAACTTATTTCTTACTCACAAACTCTAGGTGAAGAATGATCTAGAATCTGAAAGTGGTGTTGGTTCGGGGAGTAAAGTTAGGCCATTCGGTGAGTGAATTATTCAAACTACGATCTAAGTCGTGAGAGGAAAGAGGGTTCAGGTTTGTTGGAGAAACACTAGAATTGTTTTTTTCTTTATTTGAATTCGTAATATTGTTATGGCTAGGATAGGTCACTTGATTTTATTTGGTAATTTACTTTTGGTAGAGGATGTCGCATTGAGTTGTTTATTGATTGATTTTATCGTTTGTTACATTTAAAGGTCTAGTGTTTGATTATAAAGTTGTAGTTTATAAAGTTTAAGTTTGTTTTACATGCGTGTATCACACGTTGCTTCCAATCCGAATCCGAGAGGTAGAAACAAAACTTTAATTTATTTAAACTGGAAATCGAATGATAGATTTTAATCAAAATCATAAAGTTAATTAAACATTATTATCTTAAGATTATTCATATTCATATTTCATATTCTATTATTTATATAGGCAGGGAATCACAGATATTTTAAATTCCTTGAATTTTTTTTTTTATTAAGTCATACATACAAGTATATTAATTCATAGATTTTAATAATCTCTTATTGCTTCATTTATCGTTAAGAAAGCAATTAAGAAAGTACACGGTAAGTACCTAAGTGTCAGAGTGCAAAGTTTTTGTTATCAGCCGTCGTGGGAACGATGTTTTCAATGAGCTAACTTTTAGTCAACTTCCCTAGATAAGTCTCCCAACTGTGGCTTCTGGGGATTTGATAAATTGATACTGATTGTGGGTAGTTGAAGTTTTTGTGTACCTGTGTTGGGGCGTACCCCCGAAGGGAGCGAACAACAAAATATAAGTGGAGAAGTTCCATTTATCAAAGTATTAATTAGATAATTTTTGTTTGCAACAATCGTAATTCATATCTTTAGTTTGAAGGTTACGGGAAGGTTTATTAAATGTGTAGGATTAATAAATGTCGTCTGAATGTTGTTATAGTTTATTGAGGTGAAAGTTTGGAAGGATGGATGGGTGTTTTATTAGTCTCCGACGTGCAGTGGCCGTCTTTTTATTAAATTTTCGGGAATGAACTTGAATTTTTATTTAATGGCTAGATAATTTATTTCAATTAATAATGTAAATGTAATAAATTTGTTGTATGTGAGGGTTCCTCGTTTATTTTTATGTAAGCAAGGTTCTAGACGTGGTGGCTGAGGTTCGAATCTTTCTCGAACTCTTTGCGTAATCCACAAATTGTTCATACGGGTCTGGTAGGATGTGTTTATAAAATCGTATATTTTTAAACGCACGCATGGGAAAAAGTCCTAGAGCGAAGCAAAAATAGGTTTCACAAAAATAAAAATCAAGAAAAGACTAGGTTCTTTCTTTCTTTTTCAAACTAATTGTAAATAAACCAATAACAAACTCTTAACAAAATTACAAATTCTTAATCGGTTTCAATCAAACAAAGCACAATGAACCTTTACAGAATAAAAGTAACACAAAATATTTAACACTGTTAATTATAAACTCTATATCAAAGACAATTTACAGTCCAATGACCATATTACGTTTTCTTATTCCTCTATAAGTCATGGTAAGGCACCGGCATCGATTGGCTTTCTTGACTATTCTTAGTACTTACAAAACACACGGTAACGCTGCACGTGGCTTAGAGCTTTACAACTCTCTCTTTCGCGTATTTATTGTAATTTATTTTCCATTTTCAATAAAGATTATAATAAGTGTTATAATTAATATTATTTTTTCACCATAAAAATAATTTTGTGTGTTCTTTTTCGTGTGATTGTTTAAGTTGTTGATTCTAAACATATATTTGATTGTGGTTAAGATTTTATGAATTTGCATTGAAGTGTTTATAATGAAAAAGTCTGTGTAAGTGATTTGATTAGTTTTGTGTTTGTGAAAAACTAGTTCAAGATTTATTTGTTGTTAGGTGAATCACCGGATGGAAAGCAACCGGTGTTGCATGTGAACATCCGCAACAACAAAGGAATTATAAGTTTATTACCATGTTGTAGGCATTTGGGGACATTTAACTTTCTTTGATAATAAGATATTAAAATATTTTATTAATGCATGATCTGGAATATTTCTGAAATATCTATACTATTGTTTTTTATATTGTATACAAGTTAATGCCAGCGGTTTCGCCTGCTGTACCAAAGTAGCCTTATGTATTATTGTATACTAAAATATATCTGCGCTAATTTTAATTCAGATTCGTTCATTTATGTACGTGAAAGGTTTACGAATATCCATACTTCAAAACAGTAGCATTAATTTATAACAAATTAAGTAACGGTAACATTATCTGATAAACTGATTATGAGTGAGATCGAATGATCCTCTATTTATCTATACTAATATTATAAAGAGGTAAAATTTGTAAGTTTGTATGTAGGGTGTAATCTTTGGTACCGCTGGTCGGATTGCCAAAATTCTTACACTGTTAGATAGCTACAATGTTCCTGAGTGCTATAGACTATAAAACATTACGCTACGATTAAATGGGTGAAACCGCGCGAGAGTAGCTAGTCATTAATATAGACCTAAAATTAGAACTTATATCGAAATATTACAGGTTATTTAAAATTTTGAGATCTTCTACAGATCTTTGTCTTGTACCTTAGAACAATAGTTTGAAGAGTAACATACATATAGGATGTTAGTTCACTTAGAACTCTAACATTATTTAGTTGAAATGTTATAAATAAATAGCAATCTAGTCCCACAAAATGTCAAGAGTCTTGACATTTCTTGACCTTCTGAGATCCTTTAGAGCTATTCTTGTTGTTTTAACACAAGCTCCTATTAAGTCATTAGTTCATTAGAGTACCTTTTGTGATCTTGTGACTTAAGAAATTAAAAAAATAAACAGAAAATAACACTTATGTAACTTTAGATATATATTTTTTTATTTAATGGTCGTGGTGGCCTCGTGTTTAAGTTTTTCAAAGTTAAGGGTGCGGGTCTGAAACCTGTCAATTACTATTGTGACATTTTCCGAGTTTTATGTACTTTCTAATTTTCTATAGAGACAAACGATGAAGGAAAAAAACACGAGGCAACCAACAACAGCTAATTTCTTTACTGTTTAACGGGATTTAACGCGCACGTACCTTTTTTATTTGTTTTTTGATTGACGTTTCGGTAGGGTTACAACTGCCATGGTCACAAGTCAATACATAAAAAAGGTACGTGCTCTAATCTTTATTTATAAAAATGGATCGCAAAATGTGTTGGTAAGCGCACAACTAAACAACGCCTGGACCAATTTTGCTAATTCTTTTTTTATTTTGTCTGATATTGTCAGGAGAAGGTTCTTATTAAAGAAATATTAGAAAAGTAGAGGTGAAGATTAGGCAAAAGTCACCCTTTGATAGCGAGATAGTTGGACCCGTGCGAAGCGGGGGCAGGCCGCTAGTTATAAAATACAAATTGTAAATCTTATCAAATTAAAAACAGTTTTAGAAAATGCTGGCGTTATTCCTAATTTAAATTGCTGAAACCGATTAATCCCTCAAATAATTCATTACACTAGGTATCTATAATCCTTCAAACAATTCGAACTTTAAATTCGTAACACAAAAGATTAATTTGGCTCGTATAACTTTCTACATAGGTCGTTTTAACTTAAATTAATAGAAGTTGTTTTTAAAGAAGAAATTATTATTGAATACATAAAATAAATAGTTCAGTCACCTTGCAACTTGATCGAATCTTATATTGTACATTTAGTTACAAAACTTATTATAACTCTATCCAAAGTTCTTGGACCTTTGAAATAAAACTTTAAGTACTAGAATAAAATAATAAATGTATTTTGGATAACGATATAAATACTTTTTGGTATTAAATAATTAATATTATTTTATTGGTTTTGTTATTATTGATATCTCTGAGTATGATGAGTTGTGATTTTATTACCAGTCAAAGAAAGCAGTTTCATTTTTTTGTCATTTACATATGGTATATAGGTTATCAAGAATCCTATTACTCAACCACCTAAGTAATTATAGAGGTTAATAACCTTCCGGGGTCACTTCAGCGGTCAGAGCGTTGTAAATAATAATAGTAATTATGCTATGTGATTATAATGTCTATTTTTGTTTGTTTCAGTAAAAAAGGCGCGCTATGTTTCCATGCAAGGTGAGATATTTTTATTTATGAATTTTATTTTGATACTTTATCGAGATCCAATATCAATGAGTTTATGATGATTACGAGAAAAGTTTAAGAAATTTCAGCTTTATTGCTATTTGTTTAAGTTTCCATTTCAAACAAAAAGCGTTTATATAAATAGGCCAGTATCTAGCAAAGAGGATAATGTTTAACTTTTTGTACATAACTCCTTATTTACTATTGAAAACCCCTTTGGATAACTCGTCCATACTTCACAGTAACCCACACGAAACCCTTACAGTCCCACATCAATTCTTATTTAACTACCAACGCTCATTAGGCCTTTGATTGAGTACATACCAGACCACCTATACAGTAGACCTTATTTTCATGTGAAAACCTACCTTTTCCACAAGCCAACTTAATTCCGACCCTCAGACATTCATCTAAGGTTCAATTTACAGGAGTACAACAGTTCAACACTTACGTGACACTCAAACTACAGAATGTCAAGTCTACGACGGTGACAGTGAAGGGTCCGACTCCATGTTGGGAGCAAGACTTCCTATTGTGAGTATTTTTAAACTTTTTTTATGTTAGGTCATGCATGCTACAATAGTCCTTATACTTGTTAGAAATAAGATGAAAATAGTGTGAAGTTAAATGCTGGGATAGAATGGATCGTAAAAAATGTTCTATGGTATTAAAGTTTGAGATTCTAGTTTATGTATGTTATTTTAGGTACAAGGGCAAATATACATATATACGTATATTCACATATTTTTAACTCAAATGTTACTTGAACATGTTATTTACTGGTTTAGACTTATGTTTTACATCACGATTAACTACCTGTGTAACGCTAGTAAAAAGTAAGTAAAAAGCTTTGAAACGAATTACATATTCGGCTGCGCACGCTATTTTGACCCCTCTAAGCAATAAATTCAAAACTATTTTTACAATCCACAAATTTAAATTCCTTTAAAATATGAAAACAAAAAGGATTGAAACAGAAAGCAAACTTTAAACCAAAATAAACTTAACTACCTTAACAATTGTGTTCAAAATCATTTAATTTAACGAAGATATATTAGGATTTTCACTTCTACAATAAATATAGCATAGGTAGTTTTCATTTATTTAACCCTAGAAACGTCGAGGGGCAATTTGTGAGAGAGACAATAGTGAAACTGTCCACGGGACGTTCGTCACTGACGTAGGTCGCAAAATGCCTACTTGTCATTCCTAACCACATTCTAGGGTTGTATCGCATCTGAAGCCTAGGATTTTATCATTCAGCCTTTGTTTTGGATTGTTTGTATTTATTTACAGATAAACCTACTATTAATATATTGAGGTTTTAGTTCCGTTTTGACCAGTGTTATTGTTTAAAGTATTTGAAATTGCGGCTTCTCCCGCATGGTATTTTAATAAAAAGCAACCTATCTGACAGGGTAAATTGAAGTGATGTATAATAAATACTGCAAAATACATCGTCAATTTATTTATAATTTATTTTCCACTAGCTACTCTTGCGAGGTTTTACCCGCTACTCGAATCCATGGTACGCGTAGCGTGATGTTTTATAGCCTATAGCACTTAGGAAAATTCTAGCTATCTATCAGTGAAAGAATTCTGGCAATCTGACTTTTCCAAAGATTACCCCCTACATACAAACTTACAAACATACAAACTTCCAAATTTTACCTCTTTATAATATTAGTATAGAAGTATAGACGTGACAACGTCCAATATCAATACAAAGTATAATAGTATAGTTTTAGTCAGTCCAAGTCCTTTTATACAAAAAAAGTCATGTTTTCTCTTCTAAAATTTGGATGTTTGCAAACCACTCTTTTGATTTCTTACTGTAAACTACACTTAAAAATAGCTGTTCTACATTAAATACAAAGCTTAACGAAGAATTACTCCAGCAAATATAAACTGGAAATAAAGCTGGCAACTTGCAACATTAAATTAAAAACCTCTCGAGGATAACTCTCAGAGTAAAACCACAGCACTTAGTTAGTAGTAAAGTCTTTCACTAACTTCCTTGTAACATCGAACAAGGTTATTTGAATAAGAGATCTCATTCCGCTTCAGCACGGTACATTGCTCCTTGCGAAGTCGAAAAACACGGTCTTAGAGTTCATATTGGCTTGGTTCATTAATCTCAATAGCGTACGAACTGCTGCTGCATAGTAATCAGCTGGTGCAACTTGTTTTGTTTTGTTTTTATAGTGTTTGAAGGTGTACGGTGTATAAAGACTTTTGACAGTTGATGATTGTACAAAAGTTGACTCGATTTTATAGATCCTTGCTTCAATGCAGACAACAGTGAAGAGCCTTAATGAAAATAAAAAAAATACGTATATTCATTTTAGTACTAGCTTTCCGCCCGCGTGGAATTCTATGTATAATTATAATGTTATAATATTAGCAAGGATTTAAGTTCTAAGTTTACATGTGCAGATTTGGTTGCACCATTACCTTCTTTTAAACGACACACAGTGCTATCTATCGCCGAACTGGTATGAAGCTAACTATAATTTGTTTTGCCTCAGGAAAAACAATTTTTTTCGGGATAAAAAGCACCCTATTGTTTAATCCGGACTTCTAACTTTGCTTTTGCAAAATCGAGTCAATAGTGACGGCGTGAAAGCGGAATAAACAAACTTAATTTCCTATTTATAATATCTATTAGTAAGGATTTTTTATTTAGTAAGGATTAAGTATTTAGTAAGGATTTATTATTTAGTAAGGATTAAGTATTTAGTAAGGATTAAGTATTTAGTAAAGCTTTGTTTTTTATATAGAACAGATATTTTTACCATATTTTCCGTTAATGAATGTTTAAATCGCATTGCATGACGTGTTTTTACCTAGCAAAGTACCAATATGACTTTTTCAGAGAAACACGAGTATGTTCTGTGTAAAATTATTTAGACACCTTAGACAGACGGTCATGGAAAACATAGTGAAGAAGAATGAACTTTAAATTCTAATTATAAGTCCGAAAACGCCAATCCGCAATTTGAGCAAACGTGGTTATTGTTCAATCCTTCTCCGTGTCAGAAGAAGTATTTGCTCAGTAATGGGTACTCATATCACGGTGGAAATTCTGTATTACTGATCTATATATATAAAAATGGATCGCCAAATGTGTTGGTAAGCGCATAACTCAACAACGCCTGGACCAATTTTGCTAATTCTTTTTTTGTTGTGTTTGTTATTATCAGGAGAAGGTTCTTATCAAAGAAACTATTAGAAAATTGGGAAAAAGTGACCTTTTGATAGCGAGATGGTTGGACCCATGCAAAGCAGGGGCGGGTCGCTAGTATGAAATAAAAACATATCGAAATCAGTTTATGGAAGATTTCACTCAAACCAATTATAAACCGTATGTCCCTATAAAACAGCACATTATCAAAGTTCTGTCACTATTTTGAGAGAATAAGAGGAAATCTCAAGTTTGACAACCCTCGTTACAAGCTGACTACAATTTGTATTATATTAGCATTTCAACAGCCGACGCCATTTTGTTTGTACATTGCACAGGGTGAGCGTAAAGTCACAATGTGCGAGTATATGGCATTGTTTCATGACGACTGACGGAAATATGAGTTATGGAGGGTCGAAAATTAGGTTTTTGGGTAAAATGATTTATCTGTGTTCAGTTTTAGAACTGTTCTGTGTCAATCAAAATATAGAAAGGAACTTGAATTTTAGCAACCAGTAGATAAGTTTACAATATTTTAATAATTAATTTATTTGTAATATAAATCTGTGAATAAAATTAGATAATCTACAATACAATACAAATACTTGATTTGTTGCCATTACCGTCTCTTTATATATTTGAAATATGCATGTTCGTAGTCAAACATAAAAACTTATTTAAGATGGCAGCTATGGTAAATCCGAGAAACAGACGGGACCCACATAGGCTGGTTCTGAATGACTTTCCGAGACTTACTAAGTACAATAAAAGCTGTTTGGCGATGTGTGTGCGAATTTTCAATAAGTTACCATGTCAATTAAAAGAAATAAATAAAAATTTATTTAAGTCTGAATTGTATAAGCTTTTAAATAAATGTAACTTCTATAGTTTAAAACAATTCATGGAGCATAAGTTTTAATATGTTATGGTTATTATTAAGTTACTTATATTAATTTACTTAATTTTTAAATTTTGCATGCTTTTTTAGTGAAACACGATTGTACTTTTCATTATTATGTATAACACCACTTCTATACCGTGTTTTATGCAAATAAATTATATACTTACTTACTTACTTACTTACAATTTTAAATAAACCAGAAACTAAATATTTTATTCAGAGTTTTAAGAGTTTTTCTTCGTCAATCGTTATAACAAACGTGGCAGCCAATTAAATTTCGAAAAAAAATAACAAATGAAAGTTCATTGCACAAATTAAGTGACACTGTTCGATTACTGAAGAGATACGGAAAGAGATAGCAACAGTATAATCCTCACCTTGTCTTATATCTAAGTGAAAAGGGTATGTTGATGGCACGATAGTAATCTATTGACCATTACTTAACACCTTACTACGATGGAGTGCGGAAAACGACATTCAACAGGTTTCAATTTATCCGTAACAAATGAATTTCATTTATGTTTTTTTTTGTAGAGAAAATTGAACTCTATTCATCTCTGAATCCTGCATAAAAGTATTTGTTTCGAGTTTTTTTTCGGATAAAGATAGAAATGAATTGTGTGCAACTTGTTTTAATTTGTCGGTGGGAGCGATTTTCTATACAGTTCGTTCATTATTCTTGTAAATTCTGCAGCAAATGTACAATATAACCGTATTTATTTTGTAATTGTGAAACGCAAACGCTTTATTTATGCGTATGAATAGGTAGATGGCAGAGATATGAGATATATGAAAGATATGAGAGATTTTATGGAATATGAGGCAAACGATCAGATGGATAACCTGATGATAAGTGATCAACGCTGCCGATGGACACTCGCAAATTCAGAAGAGACACAGTCACCTTGCAGGCCTTCAAACTACAAAAGTTATTAAACGGGTCTGAATAAAAGTTATATTACAGGGATGTATTACAGTCTTCAACATTACTTACGTACTTATTTTTTTTAAAGACAAAATGACATTAAGTGTGGGAGAGCCAAGCTTCGGCACGAATGGTTCATCTCGACCGGAGTGATACCATGGCCTCACAGAATACCGGCTAAGTTGAAACAATCCACAACGTTGTGTTTCGCCGTGTGAGTGAGGTTACCGGAGGCACAATCCCTCCCCTTCCCCTATCCCTTCCCGATCCTTATATCCACAACCCCTATCCCTAAAAGGCCGGCAACGCACTCGTAACTCCTTTGGTGTTGCGGTTGTCCATGGGCGGCGCCGATTGCTTACCATCAGGTAATCCGTCTGCTCGTTTGCCGACTTATACCATAAAAAAATCTTGCAATTATACCTAGCAAATCATCTGCACTATGAGTTATTGACGTCTTCATGATTTTGTGGGTGATATACTTATTGGACAAAATAAAAAAGTATATCTTGAGAATTACTCAAGATGGGTGTAAAGTTTTCCTAATATAGGTCTTGTGTCACAAGCTGATATTTATGTTTCATGTAATTTTCTTACGTGTTTTATATACTAATATATTAAGGCTTTTGTATTATCTGACGCGTAAATACACGTAGATAGGTATAATGGAAGGAGAGCTCTGTCTTTTGTTTCGTTTCGTTGAAAAGAATAAAGGTCGAGGTTTGCTGTGTGCTGATAATGCTTTGTTACTTCTTGTTTCTAATTGGTGTTCATTTGTGTCGTTTTATACGAGACCTGATTATTTAAGTGAGTTAAGTTTTAAGTAGGTTAGTTTGCGTTTCTTTTTGTCGGGGGTAAATCATCTAATGACATCTCCCACCTAGAGAGAGAGAGGAGAGAGAGAGAGAGAGAGAGAGAGAGAGCGAGAGAGAGAGAGAGCGAGAGAGAGAGAGAGAGAGAGAGAGAGCGAGAGAGAGAGAGAGAGCGAGAGAGAGAGAGAGAGAGAGAGAGAGAGAGAGAGAGAGAGAGAGAGAGAGAGAGAGAGAGAGAGAGAGAGAGAGAGAGTCAGAGTCTTGCTGACTGAATCCCCCGCCCCCCGTTTTTTCTTCTGCTATAGGCCGAGGTCGCGGTGCCTCATTCCGGTTATCCCGATACCCCGGCTTAGGTTAAATTAGGTAAGGTTACTTTATGTATATTTCCCTTGATGTAGAATCAATTCATAATTTATATGAGTGTTATGTCAATCAATAATTGAAGAATATTAAGTAGATCTATTGACACTAGGTAGTGTTGATCTACTAAGATGTCAGTTTGTCCAATCAATGTATCTGTCAAAAATCGAATGCCCAATAATCTAACACTAGCTAAATCCTTATTGGACAAAAAGTCGAGATATTTTTTTTTAAAGAGAAAACGTTGCCCCACACTAACATTTTCTCCTGTGTCGTGGGTGCGTTTACAAACATACAATTTCACATGCACATTAACTCCAACAAGAGAACATTAACGTCAACATTAGCTCCATCTTGAAAAAGCAAAAAAGTTATAGCCTCCGTTGTGGGTATCTATTAATATACATATGGTGTTAATTATCAATTATTTAATAAATAATATTCTAAGTTACTTTAAGGTAAGTAATGCTAGTAGATATTAATGTTGCAGGTAATTTCTAGAAAAATGGTTATTATAAAATAGTCGATGCGTTACTAAAGAACATACTCGATGAAATAAATGTTCATGACGCTATCAGCCGTCGCACCGATCGATATAACAAGCACTAGATTTTTATCAAATGTGCAAGATATTAATATGAATTTTACGATAGTAGAAGTACGTGCGACGTAAATATGGAACCAATTTAACCTAAACGAGTGTTTTGTTGCGTCGTTATTAAATATTGTTATTTCATGTTTTTGTAACACTACTTTAACGCAAACGAAGATACTTATATGCCGATCACCCAATGGTAAGTAATAAGCGCATTCGATTTTTGACAGATACAGTGATCGGACAAACTGACATCTTAGTAGACCAACGCCATCTAGTGTCAAAAATCGAATTAACATTCTCATGGTCACCCTCAACATCCTAGGAACGGCAAGTGAGTTGCTGGGATTTGAGTTTTAAAATTTGTAGATTGGGGGAATTCAGGATGGAAGGGGGAAGTAAGATTTGGGCCTTCTAACAACTCACTATGCCTACTGACCCATGAGTCTCCCACACTTTCGTACGATAATAATAGTTGCGTGTCTGATAAAGTATTTTGTTTCTAGTTTATGAATTTCATAATATAGGACGAGCTTGCAAATCTTAATATTGTATTTAAATCCAAAAATATCCCTTTTTATAAGAATGAAGGGAAATTTTCGTCAGTTATGTCTTGAGTTGACGTAAAATACACATAATATTATTAACATTCAAAGCACACATATTTCGTATTTTTTAAAAGCAAAAGTAGCGACAGTGGTTCTAGCTACTTTTCGGGAATCGAATGTGCTTGATAGTCAAGCTTGCCAGAAATCATCCAAGCCAACAGGATCTTTTTAAAATTGAACTCATCACTTCCAAGAATTGGAGAAGAAGGTAAATCGTTCAGTAAGTTAAATTCTCGGAAGACTAAGCTAATTTTCTCAGAAGTAGCAATGTGAGTGCGCGGTACTCTGAGGAACGAATTTATGGTTGATTCAAGACACGTTCTTTGTAGTTAAGCGAACTAAATAAAAACTAAAAAACGCGTAATTCTCTTTCCCGTATAATTTATCGGCTTTTCTCTGTTAAAAACTTTGAACAGCGATTTGGTTGACTATTATATGTATAGTTCATATATATGTATATATTTATGTTATGTACAGTTTTTTTTTGTGAGGGGAAAATCATCTAATGACTTCTCCCGCCCAGGGCCGGGCAGGAGGGAGTGTCAGACTCTTACTGACTAAAAACCCCCTGTTCCTTCTCCTGCTCTGTGCCGAGGTCGTGGTGCCTCATTGCGCTTACCCCGCAACCCAATGCAACATAAACAATGTTATGTACAGTATGCAGGCAATAAAAATAAGTAAAGATTAAATATAGAGACGGTTGTCATTATAATCTTTGTATTTGTAGTTCTTATATATTTCTGTCAATCTTATTTTATTCATATAAAAAAAATATTTCAAATGAACGTTCTAAGCGTCACGAAGTCTTCATTTTATACCTACAAAAACATCATCACACTGCTAAGCAAAGTCTTCTTCTCACACGAAAAAGGTTTTAACACCACGCTTGCTCAAGGCTGTTTGATCTTGAAGGAATAAAAAAATCCAAAAGGCACTTTGAACAATAAAGCATTTGAAATAAATTCGACAGCAGGACTTGTCAGCAGAACAGTTGTAAGATTTCTAGTGAAAAATAGAAAATCGGAAAACGAAAATGTATTAGCATGTTGTAGGTATTTGTGTGAAAATATTGGGGAAACCGATTTGTTTACGATTTGCGATTCAAAGAAAAATAAATCGAAACGAAAGTTATGGCGATCTCGTGTTCGTATCGATACGTTCTTTCCATAAAGTTTGGTAGTTGTTTATGGCACTCTTTGGAATGTTGATAGAAGTAAAATTCAATATTTTCGTTTGAAACTATTTTGAACTTCATATAACATACATTTTTTATATTAATTTCTCTGAAAATATACATCGTAAATATTTTAATAAACAAAAGAAGTGCGATTGTGAATGATACGTAATTTCGTAGTCGTCGTCGTCGTCATCAAAAGTAAATGTAATAGATTTCAAACACTCAGTTTTAAATCTATTAACCATCTAATTGTCGTCATTCATAAACTGCAATAATCAGAAAAAGACAATACCTTATATTTTTAAGGTCATCAAGGATCAATAATCAAAGTGTATTTTCAATAGTGTATTATCTAAAATAGAGTCCAAAATCGTACAAATAAATTAATTGTGTCCTTAATAATTGTGCACTACACAAGTAGACGAACCAAAAAGAAAAGACGACCTTGAAACACACGCACCGTATACTTCAAGTACTGACTGACCAATATACGTCCAATACATGTCCAATTCCATTCTCTTTCCATTGCGTACGTACTCCTGAACGTCTATCCTGCAAGGTATCAGACAGTTAGACATCTGAATCTCATTTTGATGAAGGTAAAGATCAAAAGTCATAAAAATCAAAAATCATTTATTCCAATTAGACCTTTACAGGCACTTTTGAACGTCAAACAAAATTTAAAATAAAAAATAGTGTCAGTCTGTCGGTCAGTCCTCTTAGTGAAGCTATTTGCTCGTTCCAAAGTGTAGGTTCCGATGGAGAAGAACGAGCAAGAAACTCCATGGTTACTCTTTTTAAATCAGTTTCACATACAGATTCCTTTTACAAACAGTTGGTTCAATTATGTGAGAACAGTGTAACACTAATATTTATTCAAATCTTATGACCTTATGACTCATCCGAAGATTCAATTCTCGTTTTGGCTTGAGCTTGTTTGAAATGTCTGTTGTAATAACGAACGGTGTCAGACATTGATTTTATGTGAGCAAATATCATTATGTACTGAATGAAGGTGTGTTTCGTGGTTTGTGGTAGCTGAGTATACAGGTAGGGGTGAATGACCTTTATAAAATAATTGACGAGCGAATGCGTGCTTTAAGTATTTTTTTTCTTTTAAATAAAACATCACATTTAGACCCCAAAACAAAGACTTATGGAACAGAAGAGAGATGTTTCGTGTGCCAATGAATCCTGCGTCAAGATTCACAGTTGGATATCTAGCTATAGCTCCAACTGTCCTATTGATAAAGGCAATTTTAATAACTTATAAAACAATTATCCTCATAGAAGTATGTATGATAACTGATCAAGTTTCGATACACAAAACTTGTAAGTAAACTTCTGTTCGGCCACCATATTTAATAATGTTAATCTTAATTAAGAATGAAAATCCACAGTATTTCTTGTTTATTAATGTTATCTTTTATTTAACAATCAAGTTCAAGCGATCACCTTTTGTTGACAGGTACAAATTCTTCATCTTTGTATTAAAACCAGACTAAAATAGTTGGCTGCCTTCAAGTGTATTCTTGAATATAGACCATTAATGTTATAATGGGGCATAAACTTGTTTTGTTCGAGCTCAATGGACGCAATTAGGAACGCGGCAGAGGTGACTCGGAGCCAAAATGCGAAGCTCTCCCCTATCCGGATTAGTCCCAATTTAGTTAAACCTTTCTAGACAATTAATTTTTATGTGTTTTTAAGTATTAACTTATTTAAATCGGTATTTAATTAATATTGATTACAATAATAGCTATTTGTAAATCGATACACAGGTATTCGGGCAGTTGATAGAGCTACGTAGGTCGGTGTAGGGTAGGTTATAATAATTGAGGACTCCGGTTAGGGGTTGAAACTGGTCCAGCATCCGTCATAAGTTTATGTAACCTGAGTATGACTCATCATCATCATCAGCCTATAAGTGCCCACTGCTGAGCAAAGGCCTCTTCTCATACGGAGAAGATTAGAGCATTGATCACTACGCTTGCTCAATGCCAGCCAGAAATTATAAGTCCAGGTTTCCTCACGATGTTTACCTTCACCGTATGTCAGTGGTGTCTTGATAATCATAGAAACGAGTACGACTCACAACTGCTATAATATGCCTTCAGATTGTATATAAGTGCGCAAGAAAAAAGAACAATGCATTTAAAATTGATGCATTTCATATTTCACAACAACGTATGTTATGCTTACAAAATATAATACTTAAGAAATCGTCTTAAAAACAAGATACTTTTATTCTAAAAACAACACGTTCACATAAAAATATGCATGTGAAAAATAAGGTTTTATATTAAGAGGTAGAATATTTTGTTTAAGAAATTATGTAGAATAAAAATATTCTGAAATCTTAGACACAACATTCTTCTTGCACGTGCTTTGCATTGTTAATCTTGTGTGTCTGTGCATTTTGTTATATAGTCGTTTCTTTTTAGTGTTTAATGCAACGGCACTCTCTGAAAAGCCAAGTTGAAGCCGAGCATGGAGGTTTTTACAAGCCCTT